CAGGGAGCAGGACTGTCACCAGCATTAGAACAAGCCAACCCTCACGTGGGAGGCTGTTTCCCCATTCTGTGTGACCAGCTGTGCTCCTGTGACACCCGGAGAACAGCGTCGTGGCTTTTCGTGTGTACCTTCAACAAGGGCCCACAGCCAGGAGGGATCAGAGCCCTTTGCCCAGATGCCACACACCAAAACTCACGTTTTGGCTCTGCTCGGGTCAGAACAGACTCTCCCCCAACAGGCAAGTCCAAGTGCTCACTCACTGCTCTTGCTCACTCCTTGCCCAGCTTGCTCTGTAGCTGCTCTCACAATTTCACCGGGTATTTCATTGAGGACTGGAGGAATCCAGCCAGCAATAAACACCGTCCAAACTTCCAGCAGGAAGCAGCAGATGCATTTGCAGAGGGTCAGCGTTTGCTGACAAAAGCAAAGTGCGGTCAGGAAATCCCTGACCTGATGTAAGGCTGACCAAAGTTTTGCTCCATGTGGAAATCGCTTCGGTGCTGCAGAGTTGTAAATCATCTTTTTACTCCTCTCACCATAACGTCTCTTGTGATTAATTTTCATCATCATTCTCATAATTGTTTTAAATCTCCTTCTCCTGAAATCCTGCAAATATTGTTTGTTTGTTTTCTTTTCTTTTAGTTTTGTTTTGGTTTTATTTTAGCAAATGTTCCACCCTGCCAACTAAAGAGAAAAACTTCAAAACCTAGCTGAACTCCAAGGAGTAAAAAGAAAGTACAAGCGAAAAAGAACAAATATTAAATCTCCTCCGGGGTTTTTCAGCCCATTTCAGCCAGCCTTATAGCATTTAAATGTAGATACTGGTGTTATGCAATGCGGGCTGCATCCTCACACCTCCTGCTGGCGTGGGAGGTGGATCATGGTATTCTGTGCACAGCAGCTACTTCATCTACATCTTACCAGGCTGCTTATTTAATTTCCACGTGGAAATAACTGATTTTTTTCCCCTTCTTTTCCCTATCCTTGCTTGCTGCTGGCTGTTTTGGCTGGATAATTAATTGCCAAGGTATTTACTAGAAGAGGCTTTTTTGTTTCAAGAGACTTGGTCAAACCTTGGCCGTCTTTGCAGAAAAGTGCCGTTTCCCAATTAGCCATTAAGTGGGGATGTAAATTAAGCCGCTGGACTAATAGATAAATGGAACTGTCACATGTATAATTGCTAGGCAAAGTGGCTACCGTTTTCACCATTTCCATTCGTCTGCTGCTGCAGCTTTTCAGCGCCAAAATAATAAATCACTGTTTGTTTAGGGAGAGGTGGGGAGCATGGGAGGCAGAGGGAGCTGCTGCATGTGCAATGAGGAAAGAGGGTGCTGGGAAGGCCTGGGGTTGTCCTGGATGCTTTTCCAGGGTGCTCCAAGACACACATGCCGGGTGACTAGAGCTCATCTTTCCCTTAGAAATGAACGGGCTCTATTTGGTTCGTGTTGTCCATACAGTTTTCAGGTTTTTCAGTGGCACTGCAGCCTGTCTGTTGCCGTGCAGGTGTTTACAGCCCTCGATCGCACGTTCATGGGAATACCAACTGGCTGCTTTGATTAGTTAAAACATCCTTTTGGGGAAAACCCAAGATTAGAAATTCAAGTTTTATTAACTATGCCTGCAGCAGAAAGTCATCAGAGTTGAGAATCGGTCTCAAGAGCTCAGGAAGCTATAAATCATTTGAGCTCGTTAGGAAGCTGCTTAAGCTCATTTGTTTGCCATCCTAAAATTCTCTATTATTTGATATCTTATCCCACATATAAAATCGCCGAAGCTCCTCCTTTTCCGAACAGCTGCAAATCTTTGCAAGTGTTTAATCCATTTTCCTGGGCAAAACTTCTGAGATGTCACATGAAGGAAACATTAAACATGAAAAGGAAAAGACTTTGGGGGCAGCGTTTGACAAAGTTGCTCCGGGTATTCAATCCCTCAAAGAGATGTTAGGGAAGCGGCAGAGGCTCCTTCGTCAGAAAATTAGACCACCGTAAGGAGTCTCCGGGGCACCACTGGAATATACTGACCAAAATATCGACCTTTTAGTCTCTCCTCACCCCAAGCCTTACAGTTGATAAAGGAGTCCCATTCTGGACTGAAATTCCTACTTTTATTTGGGGAATCTTGCATATTGCAGGCTCTGGCTAGGTCCAGCACAGTCGCAGATCCGATTCAGTACAGGCAAGGTGCTTGGTCTTTCTGCAGTTTCCCAATACTGCAATTTTCCCAGAAATATTAACAGATAAAGATAAAGCAGTTTTAGCTATTCCTCGGTGGCCTGCTCCGTACTGATTTCAGACCCTTCTTGAAATGCTAATATATCATCCTCAGTGCTGTACACTTGCAGCCTGTTCCCTAATGGGGATTCGAGTTGCCTTCTTAGTAGCAGATTATTTCCTGATCACACTTCTGCTATCAGAGAATCCATGTATTCAGCAAGCGACTGAAATGCAATGATCATTTTACCATGTAGCTTTATCCAGCCATTTATTGGCGAGTGATAGGATATTTCAAGTTGTTTTAGCTTTGATGAGGAAAAGAGCTCACCAAGCCATTAATCACTCGGCAGTTTGTATACAAAGCAAATCCGTGTCTTAAAGCATCTAAATAAAATTCTCTTGACCTAAAATCCAAATGTCCTTTCTATTAAGGATACTGGTGGATATTTCCCAACACCTTCATATGTCTACTTTGCTGGACCATTTAATGCTAATCTAGTGTTAGATTACCTTCCTGAAACTGCTAATAAAATCTGTTATATTATGGTGTTTAGCTGAGGCCCTGCGGCGTCTGAGATGAGATCTCTATCCACCGATGAATCATGACTAGGTGAAAACTTAAAACAGATATTTTTTCTACATCAAGTGTGAAACCCACTTGCCTCTTAACCCTGCCAAATGATGCTGTAATGGAGAGCTATAGAAAAGGTTTGTTTATTCCACAGAAGAGGTTTCATCTTTGGATGAAGGCAGAGGGATATGTACCCTTGAGCTATATGTGGTTGCAGGAAGGCCAGGTGTGAAATGCTACTCCTCTGTTCTGACAGGGCTTGGCACCCAGGGAATGCAGATTTCAAGGTCTGATTTCCACAGTGCAATGTTGGTAAAGGCTGAAATCCTATTTGTGTTTCAAGGCCTGCTGATGCAGTCAGCCCGGAGAAGTGCATCTCTGAACAGAAGCTTGATACGAAGCTTTTGGCAGGGGTAAGTCAGCACAACTTTCTCATGTTTCAATGAAATTATGGCTGCTAAGCTTAAGGAGCAAGTACTGCAAGAGTGGTGAGTGAAATGGTCCCTGGAGAACATTTCCCCCTATAGCAGCACAACAGGAAGACTGAGATTTTTCCAAGACTGATGTGAACCCTCAGAGCCTCGTGTTCATGTCATTGATGGAGTAACCATTCTGCATTTATTGCTCAAATGTCTTTCCTTGTAATCCCTGACAGACTGTATTTTATAACTATAGGTATTCTTGGAAGATTCCCCTGGAAAACATTCCAATTGCTTTGTGTTGGGTGCTTTTGGGAGGTCTTGCATGCTATGGGTAGATAAGAAATGTGATCGAACGTGACTCTTTGCTGCTTAATACCTTGTACAGTTCTTTAAACCTGGCCAGTGAGAACAGGAGACAGATCACCTCCCAGACCGAAAGCTGGGACATCAACCTGAGTTCTGCCTCTCTGTAGCTTTGAATTGCCACCGAAAACTGGAAACTGTCAGGAGAATAAGACCTTTTCTTTCTGCTTTCCAAGTTACGTACCTGATTCCTTCTACCTGACTTCAGGTGGCAGCAGATGAGCCACTCATCTAGACTTTCTTTATAATCACTGCCAGGAAATGGGCATTCCCAGAGCATGATTCATCCGACCCGTTTCAGATGGCTGCGTTAAGAGGAGGTGGTGGAATGCTCTTGCTTCTCCCTACCACCAGAACGGGAGGCTCTGTGTGTCTAATTCAGAGGTAGGCGTCTAATCTTTGCTGACATAAATCCTAGCCCATATTCCTTCCTCTCCTGATGTTAGCTGGCCCTTTCAGAGGAAGAGGTCCCTTCTGACTCAGACTGCGTGTGTGTGTTTTTGGCAGGCGAGGCAGTGCAAAAATGCAAAGCTCAACGCAGGGACACAGTTGGTCCCCAAACTTACAACAGGCAATTTTCAGATGAAAATCTACGTATTTCTAAGGCTTGCTCCTCTTGGAGGAAGTGTGTCCCTGTCCAAGTGCCAGATGAATTAACCTTTGCCCAAGTGGGACTCCAGCCTTGGTGGGTTGTTGCTTCCTTATGGTCCAGGGACTGGACTCCCAGATATCTGCCCATGTGGCAGCAAGGAGCAGCTCTTCACGTGTGCATCTTCTGCAGCACACTTTGCTTCAGCTGCCCTTCCCCTGCTGAGGACACCTTGGCTGGGTGGCCAGACTCTCTGCTGTATTGCAGGCTTAGACTTTGCTGGAAGTCTAGTGGGAGAAAATAAAGAATGAATCAAAAGGACAAATTGAAAGGAAGATGCTTTGTTTATAGAGAAGGGAGGAAATTAAGGGTTGGTCTGAAAAAAAAAAAAAAAAAAAAGCCTGGAAAATAAAATGAAGATAAACTAGAAAAAGGCAAAGAATTGTTAGACTGGATGAGCTTTTTATTCTCTTGAAAACTCTCTGCTCTTATGAATACCAGTGACCCTTGAAGGATCTCTTTGATTGATTGGACACCTCCAGCTAACTGAGGAACACAGCTGTACATTTTTCACCAATCCTGGAGACAGACCTGCTAGCACAGGCTCAGTAGCAACTTGGATGGCTCTTTTCTAACCCTTTTGCACTGCTAATAGGTATTCTTCAAGCTGCCAAGGAAGGGATAATGAAAACCAAGCCAAGGGAGGTCTAAAAACCTCACTCCATCAAGGACAGTGTCTGCTCTATGAATTGTCAGGAAAGGTTTAGATATTGGCACCGTCTTCTCTCCTGGAGGCAGGACAGTCAGGCAACTGAATTCACCATAAATTTTCCTGTCATTCATCTGCCAGGACTATTTTTCAGAGAGGCTGCTGTTCTATCCAGGTACTCCCCTTTTGTAATCGAATGATGATTTATTATCCAAGCAATGAAAAATAATATATTGCCTTGGAATTTATGAATGCATAATAATATGTGAGCCACAATAATGAATTGCTCCTTTCCCTCCTCTCCCTTCCTCATGTATATTTGGATGTTTATTTCCATATAAATTTCCATTTATTTATGTCCTCCTAAGCTGGGATTTCCCAGGTTGGGGTGCTGGAGAGTCTGAGATATCCGAGGTAAAGAACAAGCAGAGCTTTCTACTCCTCCTTGGCTTTGCTGGCCCTGTTCTTCCTCACTGTCCTTGTCTGAACTATCGCTGTCACATCTCAGGCTCCTGCAAGTGTTGCAGCCTCCACAGGTTGTCCTGCTGACGGGAGGCAAGGGGAATATCGAGGGATATTGCAGATTTATATGTATATATATGTATATATATATATATGTATGTATTTATGTATATGTTTGAACAAGACAGTTAACTTGTTTAAGCAGATTCAGTGACACGGCCTTGGCCTGTCCTGCCCTTTACATGTTGGGGTAGATGGAGAGTAACTCCTTGATGGGCAGAAATGACTCCAACTAAAACTCACCCTGATTTTACCTCCTTCCCATCTCTCTTATTTTGCTGGAGAAACGTCTAGCTAGGCTGACTCTGTATTTATTTATTGTATTTGTTTATTTGCAGACACTTGTGTGACACCTTCAAGCTTCTCCAGTTGCTATTGTGCTGTGCTTGAGATGTGCATAACAAAATGTATTGATGTTGAAAGAGTTTTACAATGTTAAGAGACTAGAATCCACTGAAATTCAGGAGACAGGTATCTAGAAACTCCACTGAAATCCCAGGCCAGGCCATTTCGTGGTCCTTGGTCTATTCAAAGCATTTCATAGAAGGAAAAAAATCTATTGCCCAGAAGGTCTGTAGGGAGCAACCCATAGTTTGGGCTGCCCCATTCAAGCCTTAGAAGGTGGGAGAAGCTTGGTCCCTTTGGGGCTACAACATATGGCTCTGAAGGGATTAATAAACCCACAGTATTTCCAAGAGTGCTGTGATAAGGCAGCACTGCAAAAGCATCTCAAATAGAGAGCAGGCCTTTGGCCAGAGGCAGCTTCTCAGTGCCTGGAGCTGCACGCACACTGGCGCTCTTAGCTCGCTTGAGACCAAGGCAATCTTTAGCAGAATGAAGACATTACTGGAAAAACATAAAACTTTATCCTTCCTTGCAGGCTACATTTACATTTGAATGGTTTTTATTCTTTTCATGCTCATAAAAAGTGTTATATTAAATATTAATATGGTATTTTTCTCCTGTTACTGTACACTTTCCACACACCTGGAAATGAACTGCATTGTAACCACAATACCCCCCCTAAAAGAAGACAAAAGGACTATTTATACTAATGGAAGAATATTGAAAAAGCAGATTTAAGAGTTTTGTGTTTCCAGCGGCCTGCCAAATTCCTTGACTGACATTACTACAGATAGAGGCCCAGCTATCTCTGTGTTGCTTTATTATTAAAATGCAGCAGAGCAGCAGGGCAGGCAGGGCTTGGTCTGGCAGCGAGACGGGCCTCTTGCAAACCTGTGTAACAGGCTTGTTTCAGCTCGGGGAGGTTTGTTCTCAGGAGGGGAGTCCTCACAAGTGTGAAATTTGGGTTGGTGCCTCTAGATGAGCCAACCTTGACTTCTCCAGCAGCTGCAGCAGGACCCTGTGCAAGTGCAGGAGAGACAGGAGAAGGACCAGGTGAATTCCCTGGAACTGAAGCTTGAATTTGGAGCAACGCAGAACAGACGGAAGGAAATTTCTTCATAGATGTAATGATCTTTAGGCACCTAAAAGCACAGTGATTACACTTTTACGTTCTGAATATAAAGCCTACTAAGGTATTTTAGCTGTAGTTCCTTATTAAATTGCTATTTAATCTGAAGACTTGTCATGAAAAGTCTATGTCAGGCTTCACATCTAAGAAAGAAGCCATTCTTAGTCATTCAGAGGAACTAACTGATTTGTTTAGGCTTGCCATGTTTATTATGTCAAATTCTACTTGCCAGTCACTTGTGATTAAGTAAAAATAGGGGAAAGAGTCAATTGCATGGTCCTGGTTCAGTGGTTCATGTTGCCTGCCAGCTGACTGATCTTTTCAGGTTGACCTTACGCCGGAGGGAAGAGCTAAAAGACTGAGGACCATCCCAGCCCAGTGCACAGGAGCTGCTGATGCAGGTAAGCTGTATGTTTGAGTTGCACACGTTAAGCTAACAGGCTGTAGTATTTACGAAACTTGCCTAAACGTTGAAATCTATTTTGTGGACAGAAGGATTTTAAGTTAATTTGTTTTGTTGGGAGAATCATTTAAGCAAGTTAGCGTTTTGTTGACAGAATTATGATGGAGTGCGGCGTGTCCGCAGAAGCGCTCGGACGGTTAGCAGATTGCATTTGCTGCACGGAATCAAGTGTGTGCCAGGGCTGTCAAACAACACATCCTCCACTGCTTCACATCCAAATGCTTTTGTCCCCAACGTGAACTCTGGCTGTTAATTATTTACTGATAAAGAATGCAGAGCCAAATGATCCTCTGAGAATTGATAAAAATATACATATGTAATTATATAAAAACACACATGCATATATATGTATGCATCTATACACAGACACACACAGCTGTGTAGCTTTGTTGTTGGTGTCACAAAGCAAGTGTCTGGCAGGGAAGAGCAGCTAAACCAAGCTGGGACTTGGATACCCAGACATGGTCTGGGCATCATGCTTTTGTTGAGAGCACCAGGAAGAACACTACTTGGTGTAAAAATGTAGAACCTGAGAGCTTTGAGGCCACCGGAGCTGTTTCCAGCAGGGGTTCACAGCAGCCCCTGGTGAGTCTGGTACAAGCACCTGTGAGATGTAGTAGTTGTCCTGCCTTGAAGAACTGTCATGAGCAGAGGTAGCAGATGATGAGCAAGGAGAGGACATGTTGTAGTCAGGTTGTTATGACTCGGAGCTGAGATGTAATGAAGTGAGTTCATTTGTTTGAAGCCCTATGGGGAAACACCTCTGAGTCCTAGATCTGAGTCTCATGAAGCACGTAAACCATACTTTCCTTCTGGATAGGGACAGATGAAGGTTGTCCTCTGTGAGCTGTGTGCCCATTTGAGATGGCAATTCCAGTTATATACGGGTGTTCAACACAGTTGGGCTCATCTGAAGCCGGCTGATGGCAGTTTTTTTGCTGATAAAGCATGGCCAGGTGATGCCTGGGGTCAGTTCTCTATACCTCTTGGGTAATGCTGGGAACATAATGGAAAAATATGTGTTTTATTTTGAAAGATGGCCTTCTACTTGCATTTTTATTTTTCAAGCAATCTGCCCAGCAAGAAAAGATTAAGAAAAAAAAATCGCTCATTAAATATATTGTAAAAATGACACCAAATTCTTACATTTTTCCCTTTCCCTGTCCTCCTTTGTGCTTTTCAGAAGTTTAAAGTCAATGCAAAGCAGGAAAATATGAAAAAAAGAAAAAACTGTGAAGAATTATGACGGTGCCACAGTGTAGCACCAAAATTCATCCTTTTAATATGTTTTCATGTTTATTCAGGAGGAAGCGACCGACTGATCCCCGAGTTCATTTATACCATTTAAAGCACGCTAGCTTTCAGCTTAGCTAATTGCCAGAGAAGCCAAGAGGAGAGGAAAGCAATGCCTTTTCCACAATGTTTTCTCTAAATATTCCAGTGAGTGGCAGCGAGGTGCAGGAAGAAGTGCAGCGGGGAAGGAGAAGCGAGGTTAAAGGCATGAGAGCTGTTCCTCCTAATGAGGTTTGTCGTTTACAAGGGCATCATCAGCCCCGTTCCCCGCGAGGCAGCGCGTCTGCCGGGCGCGCTCTGCGCGGCCCCATTCTCACGTGGTTTTGCAGAGCAGCAGCTTTCCGAGACGTGGCCCCATGCCCGTCGCTCTGGAGCTTGGCTGGCCGTGGGCTGCCCCAGCTGGCTGCAGCCTCCGTGGTGGCACCAGGTGACAACCTCGGTCTGGCAAATTGGCCGTGCCGGTGTCCCTCATCGCTCCGTGCCTTCGCTAATGACTGCAGCATATGTGAGTGTTTTCCAGGCCGCTGGGAGCCCTGTTTCTCCTCCAGGACTTGAGCCATGATTGTCAACGCCGTGATCCTGATGTCCTTTGTTGGCAGCACTGCAGCAACAGTAGCCCTTACAGGAGCTGCTTCCAAGTCAGTAGCAGCGGAGCCCCAGGGGGACCATGGTGGTGCCGGGAAGCCCAGGGAAAATTAGGCAAGTTTCAAAAAATGAGGCATTTTCACTTGTTTGTCTAGCAGAATCCCAAACTAATGGAGCTGTCGTAATAACCTGACAGTTAGGAAACAAATAAAGGAGGCAAGATACGTGACTCAAGGCAGCGTTGGTTTGCAACTGCTTCATTATTCACATGCAAAAAAAGAAAAAAAGAACTGTGAGTGCTAGGGCCCCCTTATTGCAGTTAAGGGGGAAAATTTCACAGTCTGCATAGATGACCATTTAAGAGCAAGGCTGAAGAGCTTCTCTGGCTCTGAGGTGAGTTTTCTAGTATTACCACAGGAAATTTCAGGTGTGCAGGAGTTCACACTACTTCCCTGAACATGCCTGCTTGAAGATAGCACCCAACTACCTCGCAGAAGACAGAAAGCTATAAATGACTCTTGAGATGAACAAGTGTCAATACCTATTGATAGGGATTGAGGTGAGTTGGTATTGATTGTTATCAGTGTGTATTGATATCAATATCTATTGATAGTTATCATTATGTTTTGATATTGATCTCTATGACTAGGTAAGGAAATGAGCAAGCATCAGTGCCTTTCAGTATCAGGGTCAAATTGGCTGATGTCAACCAATACCAAAATTGGCCTGTGACCAAAAGATATAGATGACTATCCACACTGAGAAGTACTGATGTCTATCAGTAAGGATTTGTATCTGTAGATATAATTCCATAACCATGCATATGGAAATCTAAATTAATCAAGGGGTTTTGTTATTGAGAGCGGTCAATGTTAATAGCTGTTGATGCCTACAAGAGCAAAATTGCTATGAAAGCAAAAGGTAGAGGTGCTAGTGAGATCAAGAGCTATTGGTAGTTGTCAGCAGGGGTCAATATTGGTAATTACTGGTGACTGTTGATTTGTATTGGTATCAGTAGGCATTATTTTCTCTTGAAAATGAGAGGTATCGATGCCTATAGGTAGGGATCAGTATCTGGATGGCGATCCCTAGCGATAGGTATGGAAAGGGTAGGCAGAAGAGATGGGGCAAGCACCCTGCTTGGATGGATGCAAAGAGGAAGAAGAGCAAACAGTCCCTCTCGTCCCCCAGCCTTGCTTGTCATCTCATCTGGAGCTACGTGGCTGGTGAGGACTGGTTATGTCACCTGGCAATGTACATGGGTGCTGGAAGCAAGTTAAACTTTATTAAAGCAAAATGTATTTTCTGGTTCACCTTTAGCTTGGTTAAGGCCCCACTATGGCCAGTGCAGGAAGAGATTTCGCTCTTAATGATTGAAGGAAAACCTGGGTCTCTTTCCTGAAGTGAAGGCTCAGTTATTTTAGCTGGAGGGGCAACAGCAGCAGTGGAAACTTGTTTCCCTTTTTATAACCTCACAAAAAAAGCCTGGGGATGGAGCTTAGAAACAATAGGGTTGACTCATAAGGGGTGACTGTATGTGACTCATAAGATGTAGGATTATTCCAGAGCCTCAGAAGCACATGGATGTGTGCTGACACCTGCTCGGGGAGGGTTATGTTTGGTACCTGGAAGCAAAATTGCTTTCTGTGGATTTTGAGATGTGACTGACACAAAAACCCTGTGCCACAGCATTGTGTATGTGACTTTTTCAGTGGCCTTTCTAAAGTATCCCCAGCTTGTGAGACAATGCGGCGTGGACCCCGCTTCCCACAGGCTGTGATTCAGGCCCTTCTTTGCCTCAGCTCGGAGGCACAGGGCGGGCTGAGGGGAGTCGGTAGCGTTTAATGAAGTTGAAATCATCCATTAGTGCTAGAGGCGACCTGGGAAGGAAGGGTCCCAAGGGAACGTCTGGCTTGGGTTGATGCACAGCGAAGTCCTGGGATTTTGCACTGGGTGGAAGCTGGTTTTGAACATTTGCTCTGGAAACGAGGCAAAGCCTGTTCAGAAAGGTCGGTGCAGAGGAGATCACGTCCCCAGGATCACTGGCCTGTCCCTGGGAGTGTCTCTGTTAAGCGCCAGGTACTCCTGGGTGCCAAAGACAGGCATTTCCATTGCTGCAGCCTCTCCAGCACACCCCTGTGATCAATTAGCTGTCCTGTCCCACTAGGGAAGACACCGTCACTGCGGTGACCTGGTCCCGCTGCCGTTGTCCTTGCAGCCAGCGGAGCAGCGGCGCCTCCTGGACATCCCTGCAGCCAGCCTTGCTGCCCCCGCGGCCATGGATTTGCAGCTCCTCGTTCCCAGTGACAGCAACAAGAGGCAGCTTGATGGGATTAATGACACGAGGCTGTAGTAAGGTATCGATCCCTTTCCGCCGTCCGTGTGTTGTTTTCCTGGATTATAACCCGTGTCACTCTTAAAGCGAGGAAAGCTCTCGGGATTAAATGTGCCGACGCTGTTTTCAAATGCTGTGACACGTAGTAGCATCTTGTCCTGCTAATTTGCTGCTCAGAGATGATAAAGATCTTAAAAGAAGAGATCAGGATAAAAGGGAGCAGTTCATTCATCTGAAAAGGTAACAAATGTTAGAAATGTCCCTGTGTTAAAAAGCACCAGAGGCCCAGAGCTTGTTCTGGCTGCTTGGCACAGTCCCATGTTCCTTCTTTCATGGTTATACCAAAATCCAAAGCATGGAAGAGAGATGGCAATAAATCGAGAAGGTTTTAAGTCTTCTGCAGGAGTTTTTAATAACAAATAGAAAAATCGAAGTGGTTGCACAGAACTTTCTTTTTCAGGGAAGTTCTCTGAAGTCATCTGGAGTATTTGGCTACTTTCTGTTTGTTTTCAGTTGTGTCTTAATGTACCTTTGGAAATATGTGATGGGGAAAAAAATGAACTTTCATGATGTGGTGAAATTCAGATGATGAGAAAGTAAAAGTCAGTGTGGCTGTTTGTTTCCCAGTTGAAACCAGTACTAGAAATTTCTCTGTGTGTCACTGAGATGTTTTTTCCATTGCTAATGAGTATTTTTTGCTCC